CTAAAACATAGCATTTTATCCCTGGGTAAAGAAAGTTTGTTGAGAAAACAATTTCACAGTGACACCAACACAACGTTCACACACTGCATCTAATAAAATCTCAGGGCCTCAGAACAGAGGATGTGAAGTTTAAATAATCTGTTCAACATAAAAGTAGGCACTAAGAGCTTACAGCAGGAAATTTTTGTTGTTTTGCTTATTGAGGCAGTGTCTTGCTATGTAGTCCAAGCTAACCTTAAACTCACTATGTAGCTCAGGCTAGTCTTGAACTCAAAGCAATCCTTCTGTTTCAGCTCCTAGGAGCTGGGATTACAAGTATGCACCACCACTCCTGGCCCAAGAATATCTATTGTAAAAGGTAAAGGTATACTTAAAATCACAGTTTTAAGACATTTCATTAAGTAGGAAATTTTGTTTTTGCTTTCTTTTTCTTGTCTCCCCTAGGGATACTGCCACTTGAAAATTCAATTTGTGTTAGTAGCAAATATTCCCCAAATGTAGCTAGCAATTTAGTGACCAGTTTGTAACTCAAAATGCTCTTAGTTAACTTTATTTTTTTTATTTTTATTTTTTGGTGGAACCAGGGATCAAACTCAGGCCCTTGCATTTGCCAGGGAAGCACTTATTCCACTGAGCCATCTCCCTGGCCCCACTCTTAGTTAACTTTAATGGGTTAATTTATCATTTACTCTCACACAAAGATAATAAATGTCATTAAGGAGATTATCATGATCTAAGATGCTTGTTGTCCATGTAGAAAAAGTACTGCATATAGCAACTGAAATAATACTACTTATCACTTGTTTCTGAATAGGTAGTGATAAATTGGCTGTGTTGGGCTGTTCGATGAAGAAGTCAATTCACCTACCACTTACTTCCTACACACCTTATAACACACAAACTTCATAGGGATTAAGTGTATGCAGAACAGGACCCCTAGCTATGATGTACTGCCCTTGACTTAATCTGAATACTTAATAAAGGTAGAAATTTTTCTGATTAAAAATCCAGCAGCAGTGAAATGATTTTTAGCAAAAGCAGAAAAAAAGAATCTTACCTTTGAACCAGGTGGTGCTGTCAAGCCTAAAAAGGCATATACTGCATTATTTTCTCGGGCTTCAAAAAAAGCATCATAGTCCTTGATGAAAAGAAGGCAAAAGTTAGGAATGCAACCAACAAAGAACAGAATGATGGTGGACAGAATGAACTGTCTCAATGAGGGCAGACAGGCTACTTTCAATAATCCTGAATTCTAGGAGAAGAAAAACCACAAAATTCAGACACAGAAAAAGACACAGGAAATAGAAGACACAAATTACAAATGAATTACTGTACAAATCACAGTGAGAAAGTTTATACATACAATAACATTCAAATTAGAATTCTGGAAGTAGTTGAAAAATATGGCCCTTGGATAGCATTTCATGTCAGTCACAAGGCATGCTATTCTGCCATGAAATGGCAAAAGGTTTTACTTCATATCACATAGCATTTACATTAGCTCAGCCTTTCCTCCACTACTCAAAACTGCCAGCCATTACCCAGCAAAAGACTACTGATTTCTAGTGGTAAATTGTTACTCTGTTTCCTCATATTTGTCTTTTTTTGCCATAATTTTATTGAAAAGCAAATAGCAATGCGAGAGTTTCAAATCAAATTTGTACGACAGTTTCAATAATTAACATATTGCATACTGTCTTCCTAGTGGCCATTTGTTGTACAAGATGCAGACTTAATATCCCATTTACAAACACTATTAGAACAAATCCCTCTATTCATTGAATTAAGAGAATGTGGCTATATATCTATCCTAACCACTTTGAATACACAGATACAAAATTGTCATTCATCTGTATCCCCTTTTTCGTTTAGTTCAGTCTTTTAAATATTACAGGTGTGTGAACTCAGCAAAATATTCAAAAATAGTCCAGTAGTCCATAATAGTATTGGATCTTCCACTTGATTGGCAATGTCAGAAGTTGTTGACCTGAGTCCCCTACAGCTTAACATAATGACATGGTTTTACTTCTTATATTTTGTTTTTATACTTTTCTGCTGGATGGTTAAGACCAAGATAAAGCAAGAACTACACAACAATAATTGTAGCTTTTGCATCTGATAAGGTTGGTGAAATCCCCTCAGGATTTATCCTGAGATCCTGTACCTCAGATTGTAGATCCTTTGTCAGTGGCAGCCATGTGGATGAGTCATGGCCATTGCTTGGCCAATGTGCTCTCTGTGAAAGCCTGAGAGAATGTTTTCTCTCCATGTGACTCTCCTTAGGCACACTCTACATCATCGATCATTTTCCTCTTTGGCCCCATAATCTCCTTGATCAGAAAATTTGGGACACTACTGAGTTACATGATTTTACAGCACAAGTTCTCGTATGTCCTGAGTCTTAATTGAGCTTGGAAGGTTAGGGCTAAAATGTTAGCTTTCCTTGCAGCCCCCCTTTTCTCTAATTTTTGGCCTGCAAATTTAGATTGTTAGCCCTCCAGAAGAGAAGCTTATTGTTATTGCCATACAACTTAGAATGTTGAGCTTAACCTCACTATCTGTCTGAATATCAAACATCTTAGGCATAGAATTTATTTAGATACACATTTCCTCATAGTATATAGTAGAAAAGATATTAAATATATGTAACTTAAGACCAGAAGAATGGCAAGTTTGTGCCATGTTTTGAATAATAGAATGATAAATAGATCGATAGATAGATAGATAGATAGATAGACATATAGATATAGATATAGGAAATGTGACAAAAAGAGCAATCAAACTACTGAGGGATTCCAACTTTGGGAATCCAGGAGAAGCCTTACGCAACTTAGTTTGATTAGGTTTTCTACTCTCATCCTCTAAAGCACTAAACCATATACAAAAATAACAAATAGAATTATCTAATTTTTTCACTTGCAAACAATCATGAACAAAATTGAATACATTGCCATTGCATACACCTGGACTTAATGTGCTTGATTTTTAAACAGAGAGAGAAGCCTGATATCTTGGCTGATTTGTTAAAGGTGAAAAACCTTGTGTATTGGAGCCTCTCTAGAGAATGTTTCCCCAACATAATTCCAATCATACGATTCTTTTTGAGCACTTTTTTTTGTCTTGGCACTTTGAGGATCTGAAAATAAAAAGTTCAGAGCCTTACAATCTGATGACCCTAATGGTTTGAATCTCAACCCCCAAAAATATCAGAATGGCTCTTTTCTTCACACTTAGTTTCTTTCAGCACAAAATTAAAAGAAAATCTGCTTTACGCAGGATACTCTTAAGGAAATTTTAAAAATGAGTAATATGTTGGTAGAAAGTGACAAGTTATGGCCCAAGTACAGACTGCTAAATTATCATGACCTTGATCCAACTGGCTGAATCCCCAAAACAGCAGCTCATCTTCCCAAGGACCACATCCTCCTCCTTCCCCACTCCAGCCCTGGATACAACTTCCTTTGACCTTTCCTGCCCACACAAGAGAGCTTCCAATCAGCTCCTTACATGTCACTAAACCCCCCAAGCTCCGCCCCTGGCAAAAGCCCATAAAGTCTCAGGCTCCCTGTCTCAGGTCAGAGGATCCGCCCATCTCCCTGCCCTCGGTCCTCTCCGTGTGTTTAGATTTAATAAAGGCTTTTCTTCCCCCTATTTCTGCTTCTCTGGTGCACAGCCACCACTGCCATCACAGCTCCTGCTAAAACCTAACAGAAAGTAAAAACACATGTATGGCATAGAACCTACATCCAGAATAAACAAAACCGACAAAGCATAATAGATGAAAAATAAACAGTCCAATTAAAAGTGACTGAGATAACTAAAAAGACACTTAAACAAGTTCTAAGAATGGTAAATACTCATGATCCAGCACTGCCATTCCCAATAAAATCTCACAGTTATTATGAACTGCAAAACTAACATGGAGTTTTACTCTGAAAGTGACTTCTGCAAAGCGGGTTAGAGTTGGTAAATAAATTCAGTGCAGGGCTCAACATATTTGAGTGTCTCATCAAGAGCAATTTGGCAAAGGGGATAACTGTTTAAGACTGAGTTATAAAATAAAATTTTAAAGAAGACTGAGCTATAGAGTAGCTACAGAACAGCTATACTTCTAAGTTTCTGGGGTCATTTACCATACATAGTGAGTAGGTGGGAGATGGCCACAACATACAATCATGGACAGGCTGTGGCCAAGATATAGATGCCCTGAGAAGCTGAAGCTCAAGAATGAAAGGATACAGGGTTTCTGGCTAAGATGAGAAACCAGGCCACTCATGTGGCTTTGGGAGGGGCTAGAGTCTAAAAGTGATGGCAATAAGTCTAGCGAACTGCTGGTTGCCCTTCCTTCAATAATCAATAATAAGCAATGAAACTGAGGCAGTAATGAAAAAAACCTACAAACTGAAAAAAGTCTAAGACCTCAGGGATTCACTGCAGAAATCTACAAGAACTTCAGTAAATGTATAATGCTAATAAGCTTCGAACTCTTTAATAACAAAAAGGAAAGAATACTTCAAAACTGGAAGTTAAAATTACTTTGATTCCAACACTAAACAAGGACTCAACTAAGAAAGAAAACAGCCAATCTGTTTAATGAACAAAGATAAAAAATTCTTCTTTGACACACTACCACACAGACTGAAATAATTTGTCAAAATGATCACCAATCATGTCCAAATAGACTTCATCTCATGAGTGCAAGGATGGTTGAAAATAAGTAGGTCAATAAATGTAATATACCACATACACAGAAGGAAGAACAAAAACCACATGATCAAGGACAGGCCCCAGGAACAGGGGCACACACAAACTTTGGCGGTGGATGAACCGGAACCCTGACACCCAGGGTTCAGGGAAGTGTAAAGAATAGATGTGCTTTCAAAATGATGAGCAGAAAATGCTGAACACAGGAAAGAAATAGAATCCATAAAATAGATCCAAATAAAAATAAAAGAGATTAAAACCTTCACTAAGCTATTACCCTGAGCCGGCGGGACCTACAGGATCACGCCCAGGCACAGCATTAGTGAGACCTTCTTCCACCCCCTTGGAACACCCCCCACCACTTTGCAGCACCCCCTTACCAAGCCCACCCAGTGAGAATTTCTGCCGCTTTCAGGGGACCCCCAGAACCAGTCCTACCCCAAGCCCGGTGAGTGGGTGTGAGAGCTTCTGACTACCCAGAACCAGCAGAACCTGCAGGTCCAAGCACAGGCACAGCGTGGGTGAGACCCTCTTCCACCACTTTGGGACCCCCAAAATCACTCCGCAGCACAACCTCACACAGCCCTCCCAGGGGGAATTTCTGCTGCATACTGGGGAACTCCAGATTAAGCCCTAGCCCATGAAACTGAGTGTGTGAGAGAGTTTCCTCTCGCCCCTACTCCAGCTTGTCCCATCCAGAATCAGCTCAGGCCAGGCCTACAGGCCTGGGGTGAAACCCTGCAGCTGCAATCCCTGCAGAGACACTAGGGGACAAAGCTACCCAGCTAGTGCAGGAGCAGAACATCTTGCAGAGGGACACAACAGGATCACTCCCAAGGGTGACTGCAGGAAGGCACTGAGCACAGCAGCCAGACCCAAGCAAGGCACAGCTGGATAAATCCAAACTTTGTAGATCTATACCTGAATTTCAGTGGGTGCTAAGATTATAACTGCACCAAAGCTCTACAACAAAGGTCAGAAGACAGTGCTACACAAAATGACAAAGAGAAGGAGCAAAATGCAATCGCAGAACCCAAGCCCACTCATAAAAAGTACACAGGACAATAACACAGAACAAATTGGGAAGCACACAGCTGAAATCAATGAATCAACACCTTCTCAAATAAAGAAACAATTGCAGAAAGGTATAGAGGAACTCAGATTTGAAATGAAAAAAGAAATCCCTGAGTTAGTAACATCTGCAATAAAGAATCAAATGCATAAAAATATGGAGGAAAACCAGTGCCCAACCAGAACAAGTGCAGAGGACACTAGCTCAGCTGAAATGTATGAATTAATAGCATCGATAGTAAATAAGCAACAGCAGAAAGTTATAGAGGAATTCAGAGCTGAATTCTTTTCTACTAGCTCAACTCAAATGTATGAATTAATAGGGTCGATAGTAAATAAGCAACAGCAGAAAGTTATAGAGGA